TGATGGAATGCCAAATAATGAGTTCCTTTGAAAATCTTGTGTTTAGAGGCCCAAAAAATCACCATCAATTTGATCTTGTCAAATAGAATTGAGAGGCGTACTGGCAGAGGACCTAGCATTTCCAGGCAGACCATCTGAAATTCTCTTAAGGCATAGGCAATGTTGGAAAAAAAAGGTTCAGCCTCCTAGGCTGCCAAGGGTCCAGGCCACCTAGGCAGCTGGGTGGGTATCTCTCCCCTAGGTGGCCCTTTTAGGACATTGGGGGTTTTAGGCCCCAATAATGGTGTTCGAGGGCACAAATTGATCTTAGAAACCATTTTTTCAAAAAATACAAATAAAAACATTATCCAAGTACTTGAGACATCATACATACATTAGTTTTAAATTTAAATTGAATTACAAATCTAAAACTATAAAAGATCTAAATATGTCCATTTCCCATAATCAACATTCTGCATTATCAGTTCATCATCTTTCATAGCCATTTCAAGCCACAGAAAGTAGAAGGTTGAATACTTCTCGTTTTCACAATAAATGGAGAAGTTTGAAAAAGATTTCAATCTTTAAAATCTCAAAAAACTTTACTTTTTGGAGTCTCTCTCTCTTAAGCAAGAAAATTCGTTTTGGGGGGTTGTAATGCCCTCCAAAACCCTTTTACCCTCTTAAAGAGAGGGGAAATGACATAAAAGACCGACATACTTTCTTAGGGTGAAATTACCATTTATACCGTAGAACTTCTGGCAACCGAGGAAACCGCTTCCTCAAGATATCTAAAGTGACAGCTACATGGGCAAACCTGCCCTCTACATCTTTCCACCCTCTTACAAGGGCTAAGGGCTTGAGGCATAGCCTAGGCAGGTCCTCAGTGTCTGAGTGCCAAGGCACCTCAGCACCTAGGGCAATTTGGTTCTTTGTGGCTCCTAACCGCCTAGGCGACAGATTTTCAAACATTAAGCATAGAGTCACCGTGTGGGAGTTCATAATGGAGTGAAGGGCAGGGTCCTGAATGACCCAAATTCTCCCTGACGCACCAGCGACTTCGAGGGCAACCCATTGGTAAGGTATGCGGCCCCAAAATCCAAATGCTCCAAATGACAGATAGATTAAGGGAAGGTTATTTGGATTCTACCACTGCTATCATATCATGGTTGTATTTGCAACAAAATTCCTAGAGGGCGTTGTTTTGCAAAGTTCATGAGACCCTGGATATTCCACGATAACACCATGGTGTTTTGTTGGAGAAAGACACTAGGTGCCTAGAGGAGCATCTGATACCTTGACCAGCCCAGAGGGCCAAGTCAGATAAGGAGGACCTCGGGTCTTCCTTCTCATAGGAGATGCCGAAAGAGAGATCATGAAACTCCCTCTTTCTTTTGCTTCTGTCGCTTACCTTGGCCTTCGTGATTGCATCCGCAAAGAAAAAGTTGTCCATGTCCCCACGTGAACCTTCAAAATGGAATCCCATCGCCTTTTCAAGACCTTGTGTATATCCCCCTGGGTGTGGTCAATATTTTTTTTTACTCAAAATCCACTAATTGAAAGAACACAACATCTGAGTCTTCAGAGGAGTCTACCTCAACATAGCATGTGACCTCAAGGAAACAAGGGTCATCTCTGAGTTAGGAGCTCAAGATTCTGCAGGGTAGGGACAAATGCGTGGGTGGTCTTTGGTCCAGTGATGGTTTAGAGAGGATTAGGCCCTCAGGTTGATCAAGGTATAGGGTAGGGTAGCAATCAAGGTTACCTGGGTAATACCTATGTGAGTCCATGTGGTTGAGGTTGTAGTATCACTATGGCTAAGGAGGGGTAGAGGTGGGGTGTACAAAATATAAGCGAGGGGAGGGGATATCCATGCTTTGGAACAGGGAGTATAGGCCCCACGAGGATGGAGGGGGCTTGGAAAGCAATGGGGAAAGGCTACATGTTTTGGAATGGGAAGTATAGGCCCCATGAGGAGGAAAAAAGGCTAGGGGGGGAATGGAGATGCATTTTGAGAAAAGAAAAGCAGCCACCCTTGACCCTGGCTCTTCTGAGATAAAGGCAGTGCCTCCATTACCAGAAGAGGGAGTTGCAAAAGTATGATCAAGGCCCCAGGTGGGGGTCGTCGGGGGTTATAGGAGGAAGATGAGGTGTAAGACCATGGGAGGCGAAACTAAAGGACATGAGGATGGGGAGGTCAAGGGGTTAGAGTTTTGGGAGGGTTCGGATGAAAGGGGTAGATGTTAGACTTTGAAGTTGCTGTCTTTTGGAGAGATCGAAGACGAGGATATGGAGTGACAAAAGGTGAGATGGGGTCCACATGTATTTCATTGGTCAAAGTGGTGGGACACCTGTCTGTTATTAAGTTCTCCGAGGTAAGGGGTAGGTGGGTCTCAGGAGGTGGGGCTTGGAACTTGAGGGGGCATGAGCTTGTGTGGGCTAGAGTTTCTGGGGTGGGGCAGCTCCATACATATGATGGCATAACATGTGATGAGCAGGGTAGTGGGATAACAGTAGGGAATCCGTGGGTCACCAGTGTGGGTTGATCTTCAAAAATGGGGCAACGTGGTGCATGGACCAAGGGGTGCATCCACCGCAAGAGGTCATGGGCTCGAGGTAGAGAAAAGAAGTGGTCCCTTGGATGGAGAAATTGATGAGAGAGGGAGCGCCATTTGGAGGGGTGCGTAGTGTCCGGGGCTAGCAAGGTCAATAGGATTTGATCCAAAGGCTGACATCTGTCCCATCACGTGGGCCGACGTATGAGTACGCCGGGGGTGAGGATCAAGTACCGATGGCTCCTGGGGTACGGAAGGGGCTAGTAGAAGTGGTAGGGCCTCAAGATTTGAGGGTAGAGGCAGGGGGGAGGAGTGAGCTGGATCTGCTGCATGTGGGGTGCAGGGCTCGAGGTAGGGGCTCGACAAGGATCCTTAGATGGAAGGCTTGATGGGGAAAAATGTGCCACCAAGGGGGAAGGAGATGCACCTAAGGACAGGAGGCCATTTGAACTTGAAACACTTACCGCAAGCTGTCCCGGCAAGTGGGTAGAGGGGTAGGGTAGCATTATAAGACAAGGGGGTGGTGGGGGTCCTCTGCGAGAGGGGTTGCGATGGGCATCATCGGGGGGCAGTTCTCTAGGCAGCCGTTGGACTTTTAGTGATTACAGGAAGGCTGAAGAAGATGGTGATGATGTGCACATGGTAGATACAGGTATCCTACTTTGGGGGTGAATAGGAACCCTGCGATCTTGAGATGGGCGCTGGTAAGGCCGCCTTCTATATTTCCTGTGGACTGCAGTAATCCTACAAGGGTCTTGGTTTTGCATGGTTGAGAGCATGGTCACTGCCATGGTGCCGGGAAGAGGGGGACGCAGCATCCCACAAAATGGCAACACAGTAGGTATCTAAATCCATAGAGAGCCAGAAATATTCAGGTATAAGGGTGGGATTGATCGTTTGAACCAACGTTTGGATGGAGAGGATGGGAAGATACTCGGTGGAATTCCATTTTACAAAGATGAGGCCTCTACCGTTGGTTCCCAATTTGTTTGAAGGTTTCCAGGTGCCAGGCATGGAGTGGAATATTGGATATGCCTATCCACACTTTGAAGGGTTGAGCAGCCCCCAACGGCTGTGACCAAGTAGAAGTAGTGAGAGTAGTCCCTTTGAACATGAGGTTTCAGCCATGGTGCCGGGAAGAGGGGAACGCAGCATCCCACAAAATGGCAACACAGTAGGTATCTAAATCCATGGAGAGCCAGAAATATTGGGGTATCAGGGCGATTGGTCATTTGAACCAATATTTGGATGGAGCGGATCGGAAGGTACTCGGTGGAATTCCATTTTACAAAGATGATGAGGCCTCTGCAGTGGTTCTCAATTTGTTTGAAGATTTCCAGATGCAAGGTATGGAGTGGAATATTGGAAATGCATATCCACACTTTGGAGGGTTGAGCAGCCCCCAACTGCTGTGCCCAAGTAGAAGTAGTGAGAGTAATCCCTTTGCACATGAGGTTTCTGCTTTGGAGGGTTCTAGTGCTCGATATTCCAAGGGGAAGGAGAACAAAAGGTGTCCTCCTATGATTTTGCGGCAGTTCAAGTGTGACTCCATCCAAAACTGCTTAGCCCCATTTTTCAATCCCCCGTACATCGTGCCTTTGGGGTTGAAAAGACCCAATCAGCACCTTTCTAAGACAACGTACTTTCCTTACAATAAGATCACACTTAAGTTTTATAATATAGGGTGTAGAGGAGTTTTGAGAGCCGATGGGGTTGGTGCATCTGAAGTAGAGAGCAAGGAGGATGGATAGGCTAAAGGTTGAGCTGGGGGGGGCGGTTCTCTGAGTCGCTGAAGTAGCTTTCCCTATTGGCCTTAGCAGGTGGATGTGATTATGTATAGGTCAGGAGGGGGAGGGGAGGAAGAGGAGGATAAATTCAAAGATAGGTAGGGTTGTCGGTTCATGAGCGAGTTTGACCTGCAGAACAGGAGAACAAGGTTTGGAGGTTGTTTTTTGGTTGGGTGGGAGAGATACATTCCTCTCCCAGATAGAGAGAGGGAGTGGAGGGACAACGAGCTAAGCTAGAGAAAGATGCAGGGACTGGGAGTGACAATTAGCTCCATTTGTAACCATAATCTTCTGTGGCGAGATCCCCGCCACACGAAACCAGTGCTCCCCAAACCAAAATTCCATACATTATCTCATATAATGATATATATACATAACATAATATGAATATTTTAAAATAGTTTAAATAATGAAAACATATTCATGTGTCAGATAGGATGCTCATGTCAATATTTATGTATTTAATGCTTTGGATAGTGTTAAGAAGTTGTAGTCCTACTCATCCTATCCGTATCCAGCTTTGTATCTTAAGTTTGAATACGTTAGCAGCAAGAACAATAGAATAAAGCCACCATTTGCTTTTTAATTGAGTGATAACTTTGCTCTTTTATAATGGATCTGGTTTCAGAAGAGATATCATTAGCTCACAAGAGATAAAATATAGTCTAAGATAACTAACCCAAAGCGAAAGGGAGGAAAGCTTCGCAATGGGGTCCTTGAGTCCAAGAAGATTGTGGAACCTTCCACATTTTCCCATTCTAACCCAACGCCATGTTTCCGTTGCTCCACAGTCTGCATCGAAATGCCACTAGTACTTGCAACTGAAGCTGGAATTCCTGTTGTTCTAGACTGCAAACTTTGCTCATACAACCTCCCTGATTGGCCTGGAATAACAGGGACGCAATTGCTACCTTGGCTTAACCCAACAAGGGCCGTCAATCCATCACCAGAGGCATCTCCGCCATTCAAATCAACCCTTCCATCTGATTCATCATTAGCATGTGACTGTTGGCAACTCCTATTGCCGAGCCCGAAAGGGACTCGAGAAAATACAAAACGTGTTGGAGGCCAAGCTGGAGCTGGAACCAATGTTGTTCCTCTTCCTATACCAGCTAATCCATCAACTGGTCCCCTCACATGAACACGAACTGGTCCATATAGCCCACTTGCTTCACCTTGGGCATCAGTTAAGTATAGATTACCAATATTGTTGGGTCCATTGTTTCGATCATGGTCATGCCTGTAATAACTTGAGGAGCTACCACCATGTGAGAAGCCATATGGCTGTCTACATGCACATAGAATGCTCATTAGGCTGCAATGTTTGCAGGTGTCAGCACCTATATCTTGCACCCGTTGACTGAGAAGTGTCTGCATGAAAACCAATTTGACTTCAGAGAGAGAGAGAGAGAGAGAGAGAGAAATTGGTGGCTTCAGTTTGGCATGTCATTACAAATGTAAGAGAGAGAGAGAAAGATTATTGGTTTTCAGGTTGGCATGTCATTATTATCGTTGTGATATGTGTGTGTGTCACAGAGATAGAGAGAGAGAGAGAGAGAGAGAGAGAGATGGAGAAAGAGTGTTAATTTCACGTTGGCAGGTCATCACTGACGAGAGAGTCTCACTGGTTTACAAGTTGCAATTTCCTCATCAATTAGAGCGAGAGAGAGAGAGAGAGATGGTTGGTTCACGTTAGCATGTCACTACTGGTATGCGTACGCATGTGCGTTGAGAGAAATTTCATATTCAGGGTAATTTTGTTACTGATGAGAGAGCAAGTATTAGTTTTCTTGTTGCAACTTCATTACTGATGAGAGAGAGAGAGAGAGTTGGTTTTCAGGTTAGAATGTCACTCCTGATGTGTGTGTGTGTGTGTGTTAGGCGGAAAGAGAGAGAGAGAGAGAAGAGTTCATTTTCAGGTTGACATGTCATTACTGATAAGAGAGAATCAGTGCTCGTGTTGCAATGTCATTACTGACAAGAGAGGGAGAAGAGAGTATTCATTATGAGGTACAAATGTGAGTAATGACATATAATATATCATGAAAAAGTATGCTGATTTTCTAACCTGAAGCCAAAGACCATCGCACACAGCTTTGCAAGGGAAACCCAGTTCTTCGAGCTGCCTTCGCACATCCAGCAATGCGTCAAAAGACATATTACAGTATAAAAGGGATCCCCCTTCAAAGATGCCAAGAAATGCATCATACTCCTCACTGTGTATATTAGGCCTCCCCTTGACATAATTTGGTGCCTGTCTTCTACCAACTACCCTGCCACCCCATGATGGAGAAGGAGATAAATTGCATCGTCCCCAATCATTTAGCATAACCCCATTGCAAGGGGACACAATAGAAGAAGTCGCTTTTGATTCATCCCTAGAAACCCAGATATCATGATTTCCATGGTATGGTGAACTATTTTCATCTGATGGACCCTCCTCCATAGAAGCATCATTACTACTCATTCTACTTTCCTCCATATTTTCTTGCATTTCCACATAAACATTGCATGTCTTGATTGTATCAAAACCACCATGCAAGTTACTTGGTAAATTGGGCGCCCCAACTTTGTTGTTTGCGTATTTTGAACCTACACTTTGCTGGGAGCATGACCCTTGCTGCACTTTCAGTGGTTCATTGAAATCTACTACACAATCAGCGAGCTCAACCAATATCTTATGAGCTGCTTTGTGCCCTTCTTGTTTATCGCATAAGCTTATCCCTCCTAAGCCAGACTCTAGAAGTTGTTCATTAACACTTGCATCGACCAAATTCTTCCCCTTAACAGAAACATTCTGAGAAGCACTAGATTCCGCTTCTGAATTTGGTTCTTCACTATTATCTGCCTCCAATAACATACTTTTTGCCAGTAGGGCGTATAATGCCAGCTCAAATCTTCAAACAAGAAGAAAGGGTTTCACTAAACTTGAAAATCCAGATTATGGCAGGGGTTTGTCTCTCTTACCTTTTCTCTTCACTGGGTACCCATAATTCATCTGAAGTGAGAAGAGCATGCAATGTTTGAGAAGAAAGTTTAGGGAGAACCTGTGCAACAAAAAGACTCATATTATTCGCACTACAATTAGGAAATTGTCCCTTAAACAAACATGTAATAAGCAATCCCGCCTTATAAAGTGTAAGAAAAGTTAATCTCATGTACGATATCCATCTCAAACAAATTCAATGCCCTTTGGAAAAGAAATATTGCAGAGCAATACATAACCATAATACTCACCTAGGTGGATAGGCGTTATATTACCCTAATGAAGTTTTACAAAAGTTGCGTCTCCAGTGAGTGCATTATAAGGTATGCTGTGGAGTTCCACTCAACAGTGTTTGTCAATTCTCTTATTCAATGCTCGATTGTTTATTTAAGTATCAGCATTCAGAAACCGGAAATTACACATATAAAATAAGATAAGAGTTTTTTTTTGGCAATAATGAAAGCTTAACAACCTCACACTCAATGGACCAGGATTACACCCGAAGTACGACTCTCAAGTCTCAAAATATACAATCAAACTCAAGAACAAGAACCACCAGAATCAACTTGACCATGTTCCTTGAGGTCATAATGATTCTCAACATGGGACTCCACTATATATGGATTCTCATCCTTTCAATTCTTTTCACCAAACTCTAACAATCACTCTAACAATACAAACGAAGCTCCTTCCCATGGGATCCATCCAAATATGCACTGTTGTGTTTAATGGAAATTGTCGAATTGACAAGTTTGTTCCACTTAGAATAATATTTCAAATACTTCATATGCTTTTTTGTGACCCTTTTAATGATGTTTCAAATGCTTTTATACTGCTTCATGTCATGAAATTGATTATGTATAACCACTTGTTGAAGCCTAAAGGGTACTCTCTGCAAATGAAACATACTGCCAAAAAGCCATGCTGAAATACAAGGATGCTTTGCATTTATAACTATGGTCAGCATTGTTAACTTGAAATTGTTCACAATTCAATACATCTTGGATCAATTCTTGTATTATAAAAAGCACAAGACAGCAAACGAGATCCAGAAGAAAAAAAAATTCACTGCCTCAATACCAGAGTCATGGTGAACCTTCACAGCATCAGCTAAAATGCTAAAGGATTCATAGCATGCAAAAGAAAATCCATGTCTAACTAAAGCACCAACCGAAAGTGTTCAAAGAACTCTGTGCAATATGTTATAAGCTTCTCTAATTGGTCCGGAAACAATTATATAGGAATATATGTGAAGTACCTCCTTCAACTCTATGGTACCACTTTGACATAGGTAGCCCCAACAAGCATTTCGTACACGTTCTCCATGTATCCCGTAATCTTGACTTTCCGCAAATATCTGATTGGTAAACAAAACAATTTGTAAAGCTCAGGAAATGTGATATGATTGCAGAATCCATGGTGAATGTGTGTAAGGAAGCATGTGAATGAGCAAGAGAGAGAGAAAGAGAGAGAAAGATGCTGACCTGATAGGCTAGAAAATTCGATGTCCATAATTCAGATATAATGAAGTCCGTGCATATCGCACACAGATCCTAAACATGGGAATGTGATATGAATGCAACAAAGTTACAAAAAATGACAAACATAGATGAGTATAGCCAAATTGAAAATTTTATGAGGCCTGTTTCAACTCCATGATCCTAACATCATTTTCTACCAATGACACCCGAAAAATAAAAATTCAAAGAGAAACACCTGAAGGTCAAGAAATGATGCCGCTGCAAGAACACGAAAAGCATTATTATCATTAAGCCTCGGGTGATGCCCATAAAGGTATGCCAAAGCCATTGCAATAGCTTCCGAGTTAACATTATCATCATCAATATGCAATGTGACTGTTGGTGCGTTTGCCTCTTTCCAAGGACCTTGAAGCATGTTCCTGCCAAGCATGATGCAGCAAGTTGAATTTGCACAATATCAGTATCACAAATAAAGCAAATGATTAAATTAATAATATTAATCCATATGTACCTCCAACGCATTAGCAATTGATTCAGTTGCACGCCAATGGTCATTTACACAAATTAATCAATCATGAGAGGAAAGCTATTTACATGAAAGAAGGTGATGGTATATAACTTTAGAAAGAGTGCACGCATAGTTGTATGCTTTGGTAATTGATTCCTTGATTCAATTAATTATAAAAGGTCAATCATTATCTTACATCGATTTATGCCCCGTGTCACATAAAAATGGTGGGTATCTCTGTGCACATGTTTGTGAAGTGAAATCTTGACCAATTTGTTTTTGTAGTTTGGAAATGCTAGACATAACGAACATTAGAATGAAGGTATTTCTATTTATCTCCATGAATAATGCTTAAGAATCTCCTTAGAAAATAAGAATATGCAACAACATCAGGATACCCACTAAAATGACAGAACATATTAGACTCTACGGATCTGAGAGCATTCACGACAACTCATATATATATATGGCCACCCATTCTTACACAAAACAATATAGGACAAATATATAATTTGACCGCCCCCTCATAACTCTACACAAAAGACAAATATCAAGCACGGTAAATTGACTAACTAAATCACCAAAAATCATCATCCAAAACTTATCTTAACTATTTGAGGTCAGCTACACGAATCTGGTTCCACCATTCTACTTTATCAACCATCATACTCTCAATCAGACCGTAAGTCATCATATCTCTTCTCACTACTTCCATCCATGTCCTTTTGGACCTTCCCCTTGTCCTTTTAGAGCCTCCCACTTTAACCAATTCATCCCTCCTAACTGGTGTTGTATTATCGCCTGTTGGAGTCTACTTTCCCTCATCTTATCACGTGTTGGAATCACCCCTAAGTTCCCTCGTATGTATTCATTCTGAATTCTATCATTTCTTGTCTTGCCACTCAACATCCTCATCTCATCACTCATCCTATGGCAAGTAAATAGGTTGACGTAAAGTATGGCTATGAGGAAAAGGATTAACACCATCAAAAAAATATATATATGGAATTGCAACGGGATCTGGCAGGTCAATTCAACAGCAGTTGAGATTTACTACTTCAAGGTATATAATACAGACCCAAATATTAAAGGTGAATCGTAGCATAGCATGGAAATCAGCTTTGGAAAAGGAATTCATGGCTATGTCATGATTCTTATGCCTCTATTACTAAGAGAGGTACCAAGAATGACACAACATCGTGTGTAAAAAATAATATAAGAGTAACCAGTCTACATCAGAATAAGTTGTCTTGTCGAAGTAGTTTTGAAGACATTTCTTTAAGAAAGGAAACAATGTTATTAAAGATGAAAATTCACCACAAAGTTATGGAAACAAGGAAGGGGGGGGTAGATTTAAATACCTTAGATGCCTCTTCCCAAGGGATGAATGGAAGTAATAACTGTGATGAGCAATAAAAGTGGCTTAACATGTGAAGGACAGGCATTATGTTGCATTGAGTGACCAAAATAAATAAATACCCTACAGGCTATTGATTGCGAGTAGGATCAGCATTTGGTATCATATGATAGACACATTTGATCACCTCAAGTGGCCATTGTCTTACTAAGTTTGGGATGTCTCATGGAATAACATCCTGTGCATACTTTTGCAATGAAATTGCAAAACCGTCATATTGATCGCTTTTTGAAATAAAAAGCAAAATTTAATTGGGTTTTGGGGGTGCAGAAAACACCATATGAAGCAAAATAGCCACAAAAAAGAAAAACAAATAAAAAGTCATAGAGAAAAGAAGAACAAGAGTGGATGGAGGAAGACATTAAGAATAATGGTGCTAAGATCATAACAACACTCGATCATAATACATTCTCAACGCATAACCAACAAAACTAAAAAATCATGCATCTTAATTTGCAGGTTGCGCACAATTGAGTTCATAAAAAGTATCCACCATTAAACCAACCACAACTGAGGGAAAAAAACAAAATATAAATATGTGATGCAAGAGAGAGAGAGAGAGAGACCTGAAATAGGAGCTACGAGAGAGGATGAGGCGGTGAAGGTGGTAAGAGATACCCATGGCCTGGACAACAATATCTGAGAAAGCCCCAGCATTGAAGCCCTCTGATCGAATGTGATCACAGAGAGAGCCAACATTGCAGTCAAGCGCTCGCAATTCTCCACTGCTTCGATCATTATCAGATTGTTCGGGGGGTATAGAAAGCTTCACACCATTCATGTAACAACGCTGCTGGGTATACTGCCCTTCCATTTCCGTAATCACCTCAGAAATTCTCCACCTTTATGTAAAGGTAGCCCATCAAAATGGTATTCGAAAGACACCCATCATCCGTTTTTGGAAGATATCATGGCTCGTCACATGGAATTAATTCTAGAGAGAGAAAGTTGGCCCATTTCAATTCATGGGGGGCTGCGGAGAAATCGGGCAAAGACCCATGCTTTCATTTTGCAGGCATTCTTGGAGTTCACACTGGACCGGTGTAGAGAGAGAAAACTGAAAACTCTGGTTGCAACGCCTTTCCTTGGTGTAACAAAGAAGATAAGAAAAAGGCTAGAAAAATCAGAGGGTGTGAGACCCACCCATTGTTCTGTTTTTTAACCAGTATGCATTTTAATTGGATAAGTTGTAGAGACAGAAAGTAACAGGCCCATCAATCATAGAGAATTCAGAGAGATACTCAAAATCTGATTTCGACCAAACTTTGTGAGTTTTCTAGAGAGATGGATTCTGGAAGAGAGAGACCCTTATTTCCTTGTAGAGAGAAAATATCTAAGAGGGAATGAGAGAGAAAGCTTCCTAACTGTGGCGTTTAGTCACAGAAACAAAGAACAATAATCTCTAAATTAAGAGGGAGAAAAATGTTGCAGTTGCTCCAGAGATTTCATGGCGCTGGAGATGAAAAGAGGTTAAAAGAGGGCATCGGTTCGCTCCGTACATTTGATCGTTTGGACTTTGGACCACAAAGTTATTCTTTTCTATTTTGGAAAGGGTGAAGTTCGTATAAGGTTGCCTCCTTATACTGTAGAAGTCCGGTGACCTATAAAATCTACTTAGAGATGTCGTTTAGGCATTGAAAATCTTATGATGGCTCAAAATCTCTTTTAATCTTCAGCTAAAAAATTTAAATTTTAAAAAATAATACAGATCAAGCAGATTAATAAATACTTGAAAATAGAACGTTTATATGACTTTTTACGATATGTACTATTTTTTTAACTTAAAATTTTTTTTTTTCTTTATGTCCATTCATCTTAACGTTGAGTTTATCGGTTTGAAGGTTCTTCTATGTGGAACACTGTCCACTGAGTAAACTTTGAGATGCACCTTTCCTCAACAGTATAAAGTTGCAATCACAAACAAACTTTTTCTTTTGGAAAAATAGTCTATCATAATATATAAAGCCTCGTCTCAAAACTTACAGATAATTGTAGTTTTAGTATCAGTCAAATCTTTGAATTGACATTTCCGCCTTACTATTATAGTTGTGAAAATTTATTAGGATAAATATTAAGATTTCAAGCTCTTAAAATAGTGTATATTGTAACAAATTATCCATACTATCCATTTTACTATCAAAACAAGTGTTCACGGATCTACAATATCTATGCCATTTTTTTATCTTTGAGTTTTATAGTCAATTGGACATTGATTTTAGAAGCATCGTAGAGATTTTTTATACCCAAATTTCTTTCCATACGAGGATTAGAGGTGATGATTTTGTTTGTTTTCATAAAAGCTAGGGCTTATATAAATTGGCATTTTTTATATTTTTTGGGTAGTTAGACCTCAAATGTTTATTAAATGAGCATTACCAAAGCCTCATCCCAGGAAATTTGTGGTTCTAGTGTCAAAAACCTTTAAATGGGTCATCTCGACCTTGAATATAATATTGTAGAAAAAAAATAGAATTTCTAGCCCTAAACATAGTGTATATTCGAACGCGTTAGCTAGACCATCTATATTCAAGCATTTACCAATCCACAAAATTGTACGAGTTGGGCGAATGACGGGGATTAAACCCGCCCATAGTGGATTCACAATCCTCATCCTTGATCTCCTTGGCTACATACATACCTATTTTTTTATTTTCTATAAATCTCGATAAAAAAGTAGGAAGCTTAAGCCCGAACCTAGGGAATTGGTCGAAGACCAAGTCCTCCAAGTAGTTATTATTTTCTTTCCCCTAAACCAACACCTCACTCGCCAAACAGCTCCTAAATGAAAAATCATCATCTTAGATTGAGGGAAAATATATGGTCTTACAAGATATATTATTTTGAGAATTTGAAATCTCTTTTTTTTTTGTATCTATATATCTTGAGGTCGAGGTGATTAGATTGGAGGGCTCCCAACATCTTAGCACTCTCGTCCAGAGGAGGTGTACCTTACTTCAATAATGCAAGGCTTTCAATAATGCAAGGCTGAAATCTTATATAAACTTCATCAATTATTGAATAACAAATAAAGTAATAATTAAATGAGATAAATTTTATATAAGGTCGTGACCTTACACAATAGAAGTAATGCATTTCAACAATCTAATTAAAAAACGTGTTCCAAAGTTGGAAAACCTTCAAATTGATCATCTCGAATTCAATATTTATGAATATAAAAAAAATAAAAAATACGTCTTCAAATCGTGCATCTTGTAACAAGTTTTATGGATTGTCTATTTTCAAGAATTTCAAATGTTTGTAGATATGCTTGATCTACACTATTTTTTTAAATTCAAATTTCATAATTTGGATGAAACATGGACTTTCAAGCCATCATAATCTTTCCAACATCGAACCTACATCTTATTAAAAAAAATTAAAGGTACGCCTAACTTATACAGTATAAGACAGACACCTTATACAAACCTTACATATGAATTAATTCCTCTCTAAAATAATATATTTATTGGGTCATATTTAATCGAATTAAAATTTCAAAATTATGAAAATATATATTTGTATAATTTCAAATTAGGGTAACGTTAAACAATCAAAGTAAGGTGCACATCTAAATCTTGATAAATAAATAAAAAATACAGTTATAGTGCAGTAAACCATTATGATTGTCTAAAAATCTATTTTATAAGAATTTCAAGTCGTATAAATGCTTTATTTTGTAATAAGTTATTTAGATTGTCTTATTTCAAGATTTCAAAGTCCTTATAGATACACTCAATCTACATCATTTTTTAAATGGTGCGGTTTGTATAGAGCCTAGGCTCTAAACAATCAAATTAGAGCCTACCTTTAAATAGTGTCTACCTTCAAATTAGAGCCTACCTTGAAACAGCCTTAAAAGATATTTCCATCTTTATTTATAAAGTTTAAACATTTAAAAATAGTGTAGATCGAGAGATCTATGAAAACTTAAAAATGTTGAAAATTGAACATTCAAATATGCATTACAAAATGCATTGTTTTCAAAACTTGAAATCCATTTTTTTCTCATTTGCATGTATCTTGATGTTGATACAATCAATTTGAGAATATCTGAGTATCAAAACAATCTCTTATGGTGAAATTTTTGAGGTAGGCTCTAATTTGATTGTTTAGAGCCTCAGCTCTATATAAACTTTTCCCTTTTTTAAAGATCGATTAGAGTTGAACATGAATTTTAAAACCATCACAAATTATAGTTGAACATGAATTTTAAAACCATCACAAATTAGAGTTGAACATGAATTTTAAAACCATCAAAAATGTTTCTAATACAAAAACTACATCTCTTCGTAAAATTTTAAGGTGTGCCTTACTTTAAGTAACGGAAAGTCTTATTTAACTTGTTTTTAATATGGAATGAAATTTTAATTTACATGGCTAGTAGAATTCGATGCTGCATATGATTAAAACTATCACCTACCCAAATAAAAAAAAAAGATTTCAAGGGTCACTGTGGATAGATTCACATCTCAAATTTCTTTTTACTTTTAAAAATTTTAGCTTGCTTTAAGTTTGCATGAATATGGGGCGTGCCCTCACCTGGGTAGACTTAGGGAAATTTATCAAAATTCCGTTAGAGATGAATAATTAAATATTTTATTACATATTTTAATTTAATTTAAAGTTGCAATAAAATATACACCCTCACGAGTTGGAATAGTTGTAAATAGTTAATCTCTTAATTATGTATTTTAATCAAAATTTAAATGAAAATAAAATTGTTAATTAAAATATTCCAAATACCCTTCATATTCATTTATATTAAAAATATTATTTTGTTAATTTTATCTAGTGTGCTCTTTTAAATATGTGTAGCCCCAATTTTTAAACGATTAATAAAATAAAATAATAATAATAAAATCAAACAATAATATGAGCTATCTTAGAAAACCAATTTGTGACATCACACTTGAAGTTATTTCAACTACCCATTCAAATTGAATGGTTGACAATAGGAATGATCTATGTTTGGCTGCGAGGGGAAAAAATAAAAATAAATAAAAATACACCTGACCTTTCAACAATTTAACTATTTATCTTTTTTAATTATCCTTGGTTATGTGTATCTTGATATGTACTTTAGAATTAATCCAATAAAATATATGTATATGTTTAAAGGGGTTGTATATGACAAGACAATTGACCTTTAATATAAGGCGGTCACAATTCTTTAGAGCCATTTGATGCAAAATTTGATAGCTTGGATGTATTACGAAGTTCAAGAAATTTTTTTTTTAAGTTTGAGCTTGGTTAATAAAATAATTGTAGCCACCCAATTTTATATCTAATGGTCAAGATTAATGTGACTCCCTTGTATTAAAGGTTGATGATCCCATTTTATACTCTCCCATTGTTAAATAGTTGACCTATTTTGATAAGGTATCAACCTTGTATAATCTTTGCTGTCTCGCAATCTCGTAATGGGCTCCAGTCGGTAGAGAGTAGTTTGACAAAAGGTTCCCTCAATCCGGCTCTTTTTGTTTCCGGTCTGACACTATTATAAAATGTATTTTTGTTCAAAAAGTTATAATTTTTTGTACGGGGAGTATTTGCTATAAAATTTGATTTTACGATATAAGTTACGAAAGAAAAATTTTGGTTGGGGGATACTTGCAATTTTCCCTAAACTTTTCCTTTTTATAATTTTCTAAAAAATAAAGCTCGGTAGATTGGGCTCGTAATTTATATTTTTTAAAACGTAGAGTCTTTTGGAGGTAAAACTAGGGGTGGCAATTGGTTGGGTCTGGCTAGACCCTGTCCCAAACCCAAATGTATTCAAGTCCAAATGTTGGACCCATATCCATCAAGTCCGAGGTCCATTGCCATCTTTACCGTGAGCTTTTCTTTTGTAGCCTACAATGGTGAACAATATATAACTAATTTTTGAGGGGTAGGCTATTAGAGAGAGACATTCAAGATCCAGTTATTTGCGGAACTAGAGGAAGACGAAAAGTATTGAAACGATTTTAGAGTTGGAGCTTTACATTTGGATAAACTAAAAATTTGGGTTTGCGTACCCACCTGGTCGGGTATAGTAGGACCGTACCTGAACCCAGATCCAAGACTATTCAGATATATTTTATTGGACCCAGACCCTACCTACGGGTCCAAAACTTGGACCCATATCCGGTGTCGGGTGTACCTTGTGGGCATGGGTCAGGTCCGGGTCGGTTGCGACCCCCAAGTAAAACCTTTGATAGGGTCAATCGCGTCCTAAAGGTTTTTACGAAAACTACGCGATTTTTTTTTTGCCAACCTTTTCAAAAAAGTCGCCGTTCAAAAGTGTTCCCATAAAAACGGCGATTTTTTGAAACGACGATTTGCTAACTATGGACAGGGGAGAGAAAAAGAGGTAGAGGGACCACCCTGAAAACCAGGGCCTGAAGATTCAGAAGCGTAGAATGGGAATTCCACTGAAGAAGAATACGAGAGGGGAACGTAGAAGGGCTAAATGATCTTTGAAGCCCTTGGTATCAAAGAAAGATGGAACGCTTTCTGTGCAGAGGTGAGCTTCTCAACCCACTGACCCTTTCTCTCTCTACAATGATAATTTCTCGAACTACTAACCCTTTATCTCTCTCGACACCGATAAATTTTCTCAACCCTGAAATCCCTTCTCTTAAATGCAATTTCTTACTCTATCCCCAATGTGTTATGTTTGAATGTGTTTATCTCCTGCTTGCTTGGATTTTGAGGAATTATGGTTAGAGTTGATTCACAGTGACATTTTTACTATTAAGGAGTAAATAAGTGTTGTAACTTATGGGTTATTGATTAATTGAAGAAAAATTAATATTTTTTGAAAGATTAATTTTTGTACTCATTCAGCAATAAATTTATTTTGTTGGGGTTAATAATCCACACATTTTCGATTTATTGTTTGTTATCTAATCCTGAATTGCTCAAATATGTCTCCAACCAATTATTTTCTGAAATTTCATTTTTCGCAAAAAATCAATTTGTTTGTTCATGTGGTCATTCTGCTTTGCAGTGCTAGTATAGCAGTAGCATATACCTGGTTGAGGCTAGAAATTGGGGATACACTATTTTTTGTAAGGATGTTAATCTCTTTGCTCAGTGCAACCACTTAAAGGATTTACTATCACTGAATTTAGGTAACAGTTTTAGGAGGAGTCCGAGTAAGTCCACCTCGGCCTATAGCCCAGTCCGAGTAAGGGCGAGCTCATGCAGCTTGAGAAATCCTTCAAGAAGCATAAAACTAAAAAATGCAAAAAATTTAGGAAACACCATTATATTACTTGGAATTCAGTTTTTAGATGATTTCAATAGTTTTTAAGATTCATATGGGAACTTTATTTTTTTAACAATCAAATCTTTAATATATTTTGTCATCTTATTTAGTCTTCTAATGATTTCTATTAGCTAGTTTATTTATTTTTCTGATTTTTAACCCTTTTTTGAAACTTTTTTACTTTTTTTCTTTGACCTTTTGTATTTTCTTGGGCTGTACATGGTTGAACTCGGTCAAGTTATTGACTTAAAAACACTGAGTTAATTTTGATTGTCGATAGAAGACCCCAAAAATCCCTATAGACCAAGCTATACAACATATGATATGCTATCATCGACCAACTGTTATTCTCTTCTATTGCATATGATCTTAAACATTCAGAAATTGAAAGGTGCATCAACCCCATAGTTAATTCCATGCTTACAATTGATGATCCTACCATGGTTCATAAATTCATGGTCGAGATAATCTTGGGAGAGTTGTGTATACTTAACATCGAGGAACATGAATTTCCTTCTTCTATGGAGTGGACTGATTCATGCTCACCCTGGAAAAGCTCATCATGAAACTGCAAGAGATGCATGTCTAACTCTAAAAGGGGCTGAAGGGAAAGTCGAGGGGGCAAATTGGATCATGTGGAAGAGTTTCTATCTTGCTTACCCATAGTTAAGAGAACCGTGGGGGTAGGGTGGCGTTCCCGCTCCGGAACCTCAATCCCACGGTCCCTCCTAGGGATCTCGTAGGGATCCCAATTTTTCAATTTTGGGATCTCGCTCCCAAATAAAGGGGATCACATCAAACCATTAGTGGATTCCAGTACAATTTCGAAATAGATCCCCGCTCCCATTAACCATGGTCCAAGGTTTTGGTACAGTATAATATTGGATTCCATATACGTGGAATCTACTTTAAAAAACAGATGAATCCATTTCCATTTGAAAATAGATCCCCGCTCCCATCAACTATGGTCTAAGGTTGTGGTACATTAAAATATTGGGTTCCATGTTTGTGGGCTCTCTCTCTACTGCGCACGCACCCACACCTCGCTCTCACTCTATTGCACACACACACTCAACTCTCTCTCTATCTTATGCACACACAAGAGTCACAGAAATACATAGGGAAAAAGCACTAGCGCACACTCAACTCTCTCTCTCTACTGCACACACACGCACTCATCTCTCTCTCTACTGCACACACACACACTCATCTCTCTCTCTTTCTTATACACACACAAGAGTTACAGAAATACACAGGGTAAGAGCACTAGTGCACCCTGAACTCTCTCTCTCTCTCTCTTATGCACACACACACACTCAATTCCCTCTCTTTCTTATGCACACACAAGAGTAAAAAAAATACATAGGGAAATAGCACAAATGTACACTCAACACTCTCTCTCTTATGTATACACACACTCAACTCTCTCTCTGGTTATGGACACACGAGTCACAGAAATACACAGGGAAAGAGCACGAGCGCACACTCAACTCTCTCTCTCTCTACTGCACACACACACTCAACTATCTCTCTCTCTCTCTCTTATGCACACAAAAGAGACAAAAATACACAGAGAAAGAACACAAGCGCACATACCTGTAGCACGGGAGAGTGGAGATTGTAGCGTGAGAGAGTTGGGGGGAGAGACCAAATTCACCAGAATGATCACCACAAGCTAATGGCGAAGGAGCCGTGTGGGCTGGTTTTGGGTCCAAGGGTTAATATCGAGGAAGGGGGAATTGGGCAGGGAAGAGGGAAAGTGGGGGGCTATGTGTTGGTGATCTAAGTATGTAGTTGATTAAAATAATAGAAAAATCCAATTTGTGTACTTGTAGATTATTTTTTGGATTTATATGTAAGGAATATCTTGTAAGGAATATCTTGGTGGTCCGAGGGACTATGTTATTAAAGTTATACCTCTAATGGGATTTGGAGTATATATAAGAAGAATGGAGTACATAAGTATACTATGGACTATCTAATAGAGTGATCTGTACTTTTAGCATTTATCAAGTAGTATATGGGCACCTGATGTATCAAATTTTGGTAATATGCATTTAATTAAATAGGGTATGTCATACACATTAGATTTTGGACTAAGGACCACGGACTAAGTAGCAAAATAATCCATGCTCTTTAGATTTATCAAGCATATAGGCATGTGTTGCATAAAAATTTGGTTCGATGCACTTATTTAAACATAGGATGTCATACATATTACATTTTGGACTATGGACCATAGACAATATAGTAATGTGCCTAAAAGTATTTAATATTTCATCAAGTAGCATGTATGCGTCAAATAGCATGTATGCCTAGAAATAGGGCACTATGGATTTATTTAAATAGAGGTTGTCATATTGGATTTTGGAGCATGGACTATGGACATATACAGTAAAGTGTTTAGTAGTATTTAGCATTTATCAAGTAGCATGTGATGTATAGAAATCGGGCACTATAGATTTATTTAACTAGAGGATAGCATACATATTGGACTTTGGAGAATGGATTACAAACTAATAGTAAACTTATGATTCTATGAAATTATTTAAACATAGGATGTCATACATATTAGATTTTGGCTATGGACCATGGACTATATAGTATAGTGCCTAAAAGTATTTAATATTTATCAAGTACCACGTAAGCATGTGATGTCTATACATAGGGCACTATGGATTTATTTAACTAGAGGATGACATATTGGAAAAGTGCCCAATAGAGGGGCCCTCGTAAATGGCAGTTGCGACCTTGGGGCCAATCAACTGAGGACCTTGATTCTTGTATTTGAAGAATCTCGATGTTAGAACAAAAGCAACCCCGTTATATGACAAACGTAAACCTCGATCCCTTAACCAAGGGAACCTGTACTAGCTCTACTTGACAACCTCGTTTAATATGTAGGGGAGCTCTTGCCAGTGAAAACCTCGAACCCATTGATATGGGATCTCGCTCCCATAAACCTAAGAATCTCGTTCCCTCTCTTGTTCATTGTACGGACGCCGATCCCAAACCTAGGAACTTCCGCAATAGGTTGTTTCGGCAATTCCCGAACTGATCCCACTCCCGTCTCCAACAACTATGTGCTTACCTCAACTTCACCACTCACTTACTATTTCATTAAAGTTTTCAATGGATTTGGCAGAATTCACTAAATATTCACATTTTTTCTTTTGAATTTGAAAATTCAAAGTTGAATCACTTCTGCATTTATGGTCGCTGCCTTTGTGTTTGTGAATTACCCAAATTGCAGCTGTCTTTGTGTGTGTGTGTGTGCATGCACGCGTGTGTGTGCGTGTGTTTGCGTGCCTGCATGCGTAGCATGTGTGCGTGTGTGTGTCCAAATGCACACACGCGTGTGTGTATGTGTGCTTTTGTTCATTGCTGGTACATCTTTGTTGGGGTCATTTATTGAGTAAAAGCCTTACAAATCTAGTTCCTGTAAAGATAGAGCACAAATATAGCTTTCCATAAATATGACATGTACGAATAAAATTAAAAATTATACCATTTGGATCATATCCTATATCCTCTTTCACAGTAGTTTATGCCTTTATGGCACCTTTAGTAAATAATTTGATGGCGTAGGATCGGCATCTACTTGAATGGTGGACTACTTTTCTGATGAATTGGTTCACGTGGATTATAATTCAGCCAAGAGTTCCTGTCACTCTTCTCATTCTTGTAACATATGGATCAGAGCTTGAGATTTCTATAAATATCTATTCTCATATATTTGTTTTTCATACAATCGGAATCTGCTACTTTGTTCATATGGTTTCCCATGATACTGTTAACTTGCTAAATGAGACTCTGTTTTGCAATGCAGGCTTGGTATTTTCATCAAATCACAACTTGCGGAGCCTTTACTCCTCATCCAGGGGATTCACATCATCATCAAGTGGAGGCTTCGATTCAATAGAAAAGGGCAGGAGCTACACTGAACAAACAGATAAGGACTCCTTGAAACCCATTGTAAATGATGTGTGCCGAATTCTTGAAAGTGGTAAATGGGGACCCGATCTGGAAGCTTCTCTCTCTAGTTTTGATCACAAATCCCAAACCCAATGCATGGTTGGTGTGTTAAGGATGCAAAAGGACCCAGGCCTGGCTTTAACCTACTTCCGATGGGTGGAGAAAAGTGCTGGAACTGTCCACAGTCAAGAAGCATACAACACCCTTCTCATGATCATGGCTAGTGGTAACAAGCATGATAACTTGGACCAGGTTCTTGAGGAAATGAGCCTTGCTGGCTATGGTCCCTCGAATACAGCTTGTATAGCATTAGTCACAAGTCTTATCAAGTCCAAGAAGCTCACAAAAGCCTTTGATTTGATCCAAACCATGCGCAAGCTCAAGTTTCGGCCTGCATTTTCAGCATACACAACTCTAATTGGCGCACTAGCTGATGCCCACGAGCCCAACATGGCCCTGACCATGTTTCACCAAATGCAAGAAATAGGCTATGAAGTGAGCGTCCAGCTTTTCACTACTCTCGTTCGTATATTTGCAAAGGATGGAAGGCTTGATGCTGCTCTCTCTCTGTTGGAAGAAATGAAGAGCAACTCCATTGATGCTGATTTAGTCTTGTATAATGTGTGCATAGATTGTTTTGGCAAGGTGGGTAAGGTTGATATGGCTTGGAAATTCTTCCATGAAATGAAGGCACAAGGTCTTAAACCTGATGACGTCACATACACAACCATGATTGGGGTTCTTTGCAAAGTAAACAGATTGGATGAAGCTGTGGAGTTATTTGAGCAAATGGACCATGGCCGCCATGTCCCATGTGCATATGCATACAACACCATGATCATGGGTTATGGTTCCGCTGGGAAATTTGATGAGGTTTACAAGTTGCTCGAGAAGTTGAGAGAGAAAGGGTGCATTCCGAGTGTTATCACATACAATTCAATCCTCACTTGCCTTAGAAAGAAAGGGAGAGTGGATGAGGCTTGCAAGCTATTTGAGGAGATGAAGAAAGATGCTGAGCCCAATCTCACAACATATAACATCCTTATTGACATGCTATGTCGATCAGGCAGGTTGGAAATGACATATGATCTTAGAGATTCCATGGAAACTTTGGGCTTGTTCCCAAATGTGCAAACTGTAAACATAATGATCGATAGGCTATGCAAGGCTCAGAGGCTTAATGAGGCATGTCAGATATTTGAAAGCATGGAGAAAAAGGGGTGCAAGCCTGACAGGGTGACCTTTTGCTCTTTGATCGATGGTTTGGGCCGAGAGGGTAAGCTCGATGAGGCATATAGTCTGTATGAAAGAATGTTAGATTTGGGTGAGGGGCCAAATGCTGTGGTTTATACGTCACTAATTCGTAACTTTTTTAAATGGGGAAGAAAGGAAGATGGACACAAAGTCTTCAAAGAAATGACTAGAAGGGGTTGCAATCCTGACCTAACCTTAATGAACACCTACATGGATTGTGTTTTCAAGATGGGGGAAGTTGAAAAAGGGCGAGCTCTATTTGAGGAAATTAAGGCCCAAGCACTTGTTCCTGATGTTCAAAGCTACTCCATCCTCGTTCATGGCTTGATAAAGGCTGGCTTTGCAAAAGAGACCTATCACTTGTTCTATGCCATGAAAAAACAAGGGTGCGTGCTTGATACCTTAGCATATAACACAGTGATTGATGGGTTCTGCAAATCAGGTAAGGTGAATAAGGCCTATCAGCTTCTAGAGGAGATGAAAACTAAGGGGTATCCACCCACTGTGGTTACCTATGGCTCAGTTATTGATGGATTAGCCAAAATTGATAGATTAGATGAGGCCTACATGCTCTTTGAAGAGGCCAAAGCAAAGGGAATACAACTCAACGTTATTATTTATAGTAGCTTAATAGATGGGTTTGGGAAAGTGGGCCGTATAGATGAGGCTTATTTAATAATGGAGGAGATGATGCAAAAGGGTCTAACCCCTAATGTGTACACATGGAATTGTTTGTTAGATGCTTTGATGAAGGCTGATGAGATAAATGAGGCATTGGTTTGCTTTAACTCCATGAAGGACTTGAAGTGTACGCCAAATGTTGTGACCTATAGCATCCTAATCAATGGCCTTTGTAGAGCAAGAAAATTCAATAAGGCATTTGTGTTTTGGCAAGAGATGCAAAAGCAAGGTTTGAGCCCGAGTGTGATCACTTACACTACAATGATTTCGGGGCTTGCTAAAGCAGGAAATGTTGTGGAGGCAAATGGGTTGTTTCAGAAGTTTAAAGAGAAGGGAGGAGTACCTGATTCTGCCAGTTATAATGCATTGATATCAGGGTTGAGCAATGCTGATAAAGCATTGGATGCATATAGGATTTTCGAGGAGACAAGAATGAGGGGTTGTAGTGTGAATGTGAAAAGTTGTGTTGTTCTTTTGGAGGCTTTGCAGAGGACCGAGAACCTTGAGCAAGCAGCAATAGTTGGGGCCGTGTTGAGAGAGGCTGCCAAGTCGCAACATGCAACAAAGTCCTTGTGAGAGGGTGGGAGGTGGTTCAAGGTAGAGATGCAATTAACTGGAGGTAATTTCTCTCTCTCTCTCTCTCACACACACACACACACACACACACACACACACACACACACACACACACACAAGCACAAAAATGCACATCTACAGACACACACACACAATCATCATATTGATCATTAGTGATGCTAACATGTGCCCCTCATGCTGTTATAACTTTGAGAGACACTTAGATTATCAGTCACATTGAGCTACTTTGGCCCCAATTCATTTGGTATTTGAGTTTTATTAGGAATGACTTCTCTGTGTTCGTGGGTGTAGTTACCAGATAACTCTTAAGAATTTTCCTTGTAACAGAAGGAGGGTCAAAAACGGGTTAAGAGATTTGCATTGCAGTGCCTGGATAATGTGCCAGGTTCAATTGGCATAGGCTATGGGCATGGCCTGTGAAGCACTGTAATTTTGGTGGCGATGAATGTATTCTTATTGGAATGTGAAATATGTGTAAGTGGGGTGGTTTCAGAATTCTGTGTGTGATGCAGTGTTAATCTCTCGCATTGGATCGTCCTATGAAGGCCTTTGGTTATAATGGGTATGTATAAATTGTTTTCATGATATAATTTATGATTGGGTGAGTTATGCCATTGTACACCTGCTCAGGAATGAAGCATTCTTTGAATAAAAATCATATACCTTTTTGTAACTTTCATAGGAATCTTTTTTGAACTTTTGAGAGAGAGAGAGAGAAAGAGAAAGAGAGATTTTCTTCCTCTTTTTTTGCTGTTAGTGAGTAGTAATTTGATGCTTCATTGATTAAAGTGAATACAAAGTCATCTCAATTATCATGAAGGAGAAAAAAGATGATATATCTTTCTCTCTCTCATGAAATGTGGCTTATTTCCAAGATTATAATCCAAAGTAATTTAGCTTTTTCTCACTTCGTTTAGAATAAAAGTGGTTCGTGTAACACTAATTTCAAGCATATCTATGGGCTATGTTAGAAAAATGGCCAAATAGTTTTCTTCTCCCATATACTTCACAGTTTATCCTTGAAAATTTTATCTTGGTTAAGAAGCTAAAGTATCACCTGTTGAGAGAAAGAAGTGACAAATCCTTAGTCTTCCACTAGAAAGTAGCTGCTTCGGCTTTTGTTGTTGGAATTCTCAAGCCCTAGCCCCCTCTCTTCTCCTCTGCATGCTTTCCACTCTCTCTCACCCGTACTACATCTGCCATCTCTTTTTTTGTCTTTTCCTCTCTCTCTCTCTCTCTCTCTCTCTCTCTTCTCTCTCTTCTCT